ATTCATACCAATCCTTTTTTGTGGCAATTTTCAAAAACACAGAACAGATGGGAAGGCCAACAAAGCGGTGCAGCTTTGAGTCTGTCTATTCATTTTGTAAAGTGCACGATTTCAGCCAAGGTGTCTCTTCCTGAGAACGGTGACGATATACATATACGTGTTACGTCATGATGGCGTCATCAGAATATTTAATAAGTAGCGATTTATTTCCGTCTTCTTTATCAGCTCTATCTCATGAACAGATACATTTATAGGGTATTAATATTTTGGGATCTGAAAGATGTTGACTAGAGTTGGGCGAAAATTCTATCTGGGTTTCAAAATCCCCTGACCTTCTTCAGTTAATGAAAGGTCAAATGTCATCTTTATTTTAAATGCATAAATTCGTGGAAAGACCTGGAATACATGCATCGGTTAATATCTTCTAGGCAGTATGGGATATAAATATAAACCTTTTAAACTGATACAAACTCTTATGTAGTTTGGGTGTGCTTTCGTGACGTCACTGTGACGTAGCACGAAATACTTAATTCACACCCTATCCGACTACCCACCGCTACTTATAAGTTAAAGCACCATAGCTCTTGCAGGCTATTTGCTGCACAGGCCTCACTTATAAGTAACGGTGGGTAGTCGGGTCGGGTGGAATTCAGCAGTTTCAAATCAAAATGGAAAGAAATGTTTTAAAAATAACGTTGAAGAACGTTGGTGTCCTGTATGTTGCAGACACCAAGCTTTTGGCGTATGCTTCTGTTTAAAATCCTAGCAATGGCGGAAGGAAATGTCGTAGACTCACTGAAGAATCTGAGATACCAGGTCACTTAGTCGTAAGGGGCCGTCCATAAAGTACGCACGCACGAAATGCGTATGATTTGCACGTCGCTTCTTAAAGACAAAGTAATAACAGGTTTTTATATCGATATTTCTTCATTAACGGCCCTGGAAAATATTTAATTGGCAGCTTAAAAAAGATGTTATTGAATTAAAAAATCCTGGTGCCTTTGTTTCTCTTATGCATGTAGAGGGCACCCGTACGTTTCCGGAAGATGTCAGTCATTTTGTTATGAGTAATGTTGCAGTTTACCAGTAATGGACGTTGGCACGAAAGGATAAATGGTGGGTTGGACGGTGAAAAATACTTTCTGACTAGTTTAACGAATCACAAAAGCTGATTATGTTATTTATTTGTATGATAAAGTGTATTGATATGATGAAGATTCTTTAAAAGCAAGTTGTCGGTTTGTGTATGTTACACGCACACACTCCCCTTCGTGCGTCCATACTTTATGGACGGCCCTAAACTGGACTATTGGATGGACTTTGATGTAAGCTACAATTATATCATGGAGGAAGGACACAGAAGGAGTTCGAACTGCCCGGGTAGTTCCTGGCCTATGTCCATAGCTAAAGTGCAGCGTGCGCTTACTACGAACCATCTGTTTTACAACCATAAAACCCCTTCGTACCCTGTGATCGCCGCCGCAATTTATCGGTGGTAATCTGCATCCTTAAAACTGTGTGTATTGGAGTACAGGAAATTGAATTTCACAGCGATAAGTTGTAGTTAATCGCAAGCGAAACGCAACACATATCACTGGGATGTCATTGACCCTATTTGTCCGGCTAAGCTCCAGGCAGTAATCGGGCATTTTTGAAATGTTTCCTGTCATTCGTCTGACTGGAAAGCAACGATCATCAAACGCCTTGAAGTACCAGAGCTGGAACTCCTGTATCATTCCTCCGTGATATCTGCAACCATAACTTACCGGCATCCAAGATCAGGCAGCCATCAGCATCTGCCGGCGAGTAAGGACGCCTGTCTTTGTCTTCATCAAAGTACACAGTCCTCTGGGTTGCGTTGAAGTCTCTTGGATACTCCTGCCTTGTCGCAAGGTTCAACTCGCACACTGTGTTGCAGTCGTTGAAGTTAAAAGACACGCAACGCTCATCCATGCTGCAGTCCCGTGCACAGATGACACGAGAGCGGACAGGTGTACGTGCGTATGTAAATCCTTCCAGTGTGCGATTTTCTGCCGCGTACATAGTTTGGGGGAACCGACAACCCTTGAGGCCAGAGGCAAAAACGGCTACTCCCAACAACAGCATCAACCAACAAAATATGAATACGGCGTTCAAGGGTTGTGCCATTGTTGAATCTTTTGACTTTACAGATGAACCATATTTTGCGTAATGGTCTGTCTTCAATTACAAATCTTGGCTCAAGGAAAAAAACAGAGGGTCATTTCTGAAACTTCTTTCGAAAGGAATGGCTGAGAGCTAGCAAGGCCTTTCGTTTAATAGACCTACGTCTACAGTTGCCGTTATAGATGACATAAAGGCAAAAATCTTTATTTAAAGCTCCTCCCATGACCATAGGTCAATTTCCACCAATCATGACTGTCTTGGGATCGGTCACAACAGTTTACGTAACGACGAATGGGCGTATGTCCATTCTTTGTCTCTCCTAGCTATGGGCACAGAAAATGTACTTTTTCAGTTACAGCATACCTTTCGGGTAATGGAGTCACTTATTATTTTAGGATTATCAAAATAATAAACCAGGTCATACAAAATGGACTTTTTACGTCGGACTGAATTTTTAACATCCATTATGTATTGATACTAGCAATTTGATGTATGGAATTATTGTATTGCCGATTTTTTGGTTACTTTTTCAAATGTCTTTTGTTCACCTTCATCTTCACAGTTATAAAATACCACCAGGTCGGTGTAGTGCTTCTTTCCTCGCCTTTGACCTCTGCGGTCCAGTTTCTAATCCCGGCTCGGTCCACTTCTGGATTGAGTTGTCAGTCCCAAACTGATTTCATAGGTTTTACCCAGAATATTCCTCTGGGGTTTTCCTCCCACCTCTAAAACTGTAACTGCTTCTCGTTGCCTCCTCTATACAGATGTGGGCTGTTTGGTGGCTTGCTGCTTTGACTCACGTTGTAAATCTGAGTGCCTCCACGGAAAGCAATGCTGTTTTCTGATCAGAGCTTACCTTCATTCAAAATGATTTGAATTAAAGATGTTTTTTCTCAGCTGATTATTTTGTTACATAAACCTTTTTGGTTTGAGAAATATTTCAGTCTACCTTTCCAATATTTCGTGTCATCACTTTGCTATTGCAATCATTACCACTTATTGCGTACGTAAGATCCCACAGACCCTGTCATGTTCCCTGTAGACCCATTGGTGATAGCAGTACAACTTCACATATTGATAAAAGGGAGCAGGCTATTTTCCTTTCCAGCCTCAGTTTGTAAAACTAGCAATTCCTAATCAGCAGAAGCACCTGGCAAAAGCAAACGCTCATGACGCAGAAGAAAAAGCGAAAGCAAATTGCTAAAAACGTATAAATAACCCTTTTCTCTAACCAAGAGCTTTTCTCAAGATTGCCAAGTAAATTGCTCGTGTGTTCTTAACATCCCACAAGTCCTCCTGGTGTGCAGTGGGGCGTGCCTAAAAGCGAAAGCTGTTTACAGGAGAAGTGCGTCCCTACGCACTTTCCAAAATGGCTACACAGAGTAATGATCAAATTGCTGACAAGTGTGACCAGCAACTGAATGTACTTTTGGTGAAAATCATTCTCAGGTGTACTTCTGTACACTTTTAGGTCTAGCTCGGCCCTGGTAGAGTTTCTATGATGTGTTGAATATTTACCAAGCAAGAGGTCAGAATAGAAATTTTAACAGAGAACGTGTAACATTTCAAGCAAATGGTTGTTTTTAGGCAATTATTCATTTGAATAGTGTTTGTTTGCAAGAAATAAGGTTTTGCTTTTGTTTAAAAACGTAACCAATAGCCGACAAAAAAGCAAATGCTAGTGTGTATGTATTAGGTCCATTGACCATGGTTGCATTGAAAGGACAGTAATTACCAGATACGGTGAATTGCACGACCCATACAGTGTATTTACATGTATGGCTGCATGGGCTTTATAAATGAGTAATATTGTACATGAAACTTTACATCATTGGTGGATCTGTGGCATGCAAACAGGGCATCCCTAATTTATTTAATATAATGAGAAAACGATTGGTTGGCTATTCCTTTTCCCACATCGTGCAAAAAGCCCCCTTAATTTAGCCTTGCTTCTTCAAAAGGTTGACAAGGGATAAAAAGCACACTCTACATTTGCCCCCCCTCAAAAGATAATTGGTTATGCCTCCACTCTTACACGTATAAACTGGCCATCCGAAAATACATAAATATGATAAACTACTTACTTAATTCATTAACACGTCAAGGACCACAAGAAAATCATGTTTTTAATCCAACACTTCTGTTAATTTATTGTGATCGATGGAAATCAAAGTTCTGTGTAGTAGAATCCCTTCCTAGACTGTCTAGGGGAGTCCGTCCAGTATCGATTGCCCGAGCGGGCATGGATCCACTCAACTGGGGCTTTGTGTCATACTTTGGCCGATGACAATAAAAAAGCAATTTGGTACATCCCACTTGGCTGACTAATCCTCCAACAAGGTTCAGTCTTCAATCCATATGACGCAAGATATGTGGGAAAGGGTAACCCCCGCTCTATTGTGTCTTCTTTTGTGTAGATGGAATCTTTGGAATTCCGTTCAGATTTCTGAGGGGTGTAGTAGGCACAATAGCCTTAGGGTATACAGCTTGTGCGTTAAGGGTCCCCCTTTCCCTCACACTTGTGCCTGGTATTCTTCAATCTATTTTGCCAACTGTTCAACCCTCAGTCACCAGTTCAGACGAAGAGGGGTTATATGCTTGAGTAACCAGACTGAACCTGGCTTCCCACCGACTTGGGTGGAAGGGATTATAGCATACTGGGCCCGGTGCCTACATATGAAGCGAAATGTGGGACAGAGAGACCCCCCCCCGCCTTTGTGTTGGTCATTGTCATATGGTTATACTGTTATCTAAGCAATTCTTTTCAGACATCTAGGGGGATGTGTTAAGTGACAATGGGCCTGAGTGTGTATAGGGATAGGACTTGTTGGGGGGTACACCTCTGTCCCATTTCGTGCCTGGTATAGGTGCATGAACTGCCTGTAATTTGATGTGACGCTTGATGCACACCAACGAAGCACACTGAATGATGATTGCAGAAATGTTGCGCCTCATACAAGTTTCACCATAGACCTGAAGGAGAAAAATACAATGGACTGCCAGTTCCAGCGGGCGCGTGTCGATCTTGCGTCAACCGGAAGTGCCGAAGTTACCGGCACAGACAACTTCCGTTTTGCTGTTTTCCGTATATTAAATTGTGCATGCAGCACAATGTGTAACACAAAATACCCCAAATGACATAAATTTCCAGGTAATGATTGTGCAGTTGAGTTTTTATTGTATACCGAATATCATAACACACTTGTATATGTCTATCTTATCCAGGCGTGCCCATTTTGCTGTTTTATCCACGAAAAACATGAAAAATAAAGAATTCCAAGGCAAAATTACGCGCGCAGCGACGCGTGACGGTTGCAATCGTTAATTGCACGTGAACACCTATTCCAAGGTCAACCGGAAGTTTCCTGTGCCGGCACCTCCGGCCGACGGAATGCGTATACATGTACATGCAATGCACGGGGCGCCCCCAGGAGTTGTATTTTCCTCCTCTAGGTCTATGGTTTCATCAGGGAAACCACATCTAGATGAAATACACTGAGTGTGGAGCTAAAAAAGTGGCACCAACCTCGGATAAGAACACAAACGACGATTGATCCCTGATGATATTATATCACTAAAAGCTAATGTGTGAAGTCTTGCACTGATGTAATGCACTGACTGCATATTGCAATAACAAGGAGTCTCAGAACCTGGTCCCAATCCAGTAAAGTGGTGTTTAAATAAAGTACACACTATCTAATGGAGGGCAGTGACAAAGGAAAAGAATATTGCAAATCACGGCCTTTGTCATTCGGGGTAAATAGGAATTCCTTTTTGCGCACAGAGTAATAAATGTAATTCGAAAAAAAATAGTGACAAATAATGCCGAGGATACTTGCATCGTTGCATCGTTCTCAGCATTTCCAGATCGGTACAAAGCGAATTGGCATTATTCCATTTGCATGTATTTTAAGGACCCCTGTATAAACCTCATACGAACCAAGGTTTTATTGCATTTTGATACAGTGGGATGGTTTTCATTATTACGTTTTCAAACCAAGCTACTGTATGTCACATGATATTTCGTTTCACCCGTAATTCTGAGTAGCTTGCCTTGGGCTTTGTTAAAATACAACATTTAAAATATAGTAAAATGTATTTTCAATAGATATAAATCCCATTACCAAATATCTGGGTGAATTGTGTACGTACTGCACCCCAAAAAAGGAAATATGGAAATGCGCCTTACTGCTGAGGAAAAATACACACGCTGGCCGAATAGAAAACAGTTCCATTTTCACAAAATTGGTTTCAAAATTACTGTACGAAGTTACTAAAAAAATCCTAAAGGCCCGGCTCGAAAATATGCACAGCAGCAATCCCGGAAAATATAACACATTTTAGTGTTAAGGCAAGTCTGAACATAGGCCTATGTACATGTATCTTTTTCATTTTGAAATAAATTGGGAATTACCTGGGGAAATTGTTATACTCGTTCGAATTGTCAAAATTTCAATAAAAAGTTAACACACAAAATTCAGAGTAAAATTGTTTTTAAAGTTGTGTAGTTAAGAAACAGAGAGGCTTTATTGTTTTACCATGGACAGCAGACATTTTAAAAGAACAAAGGACTCGCTTTCTCCTATTCTCTCCTGTTTTTATAAGTTAATCTTTCGTTAAAAGCAGTTCTCGAATGTAAGTATGTGGTTAGTCCATTGTTTCAAAATTAAGACCTGCTTTCTCTTTGACTGTACCCGAGAAACAGCTACTGCGTTCAAATTAATCACCATATTAGACAAGACAAAATTACTGAAGATTTATTGCGAGGTGATTTAATCAGGCAGATTCCTTGCTGTCAAACAAAATTAGCAGAGTACTAAATTTGTCATCAGATTTTCATCACTAATTTTCATATCAATGCTAAAAAGTGATTTGTTTCAACGTTGCCATTCTCCTCGCTATTTCATACCTCCAGGGTCACAAGAGAATTCGTCACTCCCGTCGTCACAGTCAGGGAACTTATTGCACACGAGCTCAGGCGTTATACAAGTCCCAGAGCTACATTTGAAGTCATTTACACCGCACAAATCAGCATCTAAACAGAAAAAAAGGTGTTCCTTCTGAAGAACCCAGTAAAGGCTGATGTTTACATGTTTACATGCATCGCAACATACACCTGAAAACGATGTTCCTTCCAATCATACGTCTATTACTAGTTTTTATTATACCGTGGCGAATTTTACGAAATCTGAACGCAGTCTGAAAATTAACAGGTGTGGGCTTTGATGGCTGAGGACTGTTTGAGGCCTCACACGGTAAAACCCAAGCGTTGAACTTCTAAAAGCAAATTAAACGCAAATCTGTAACACTTGTTAAACATTTTGACACGTTTATAAATAAACACATACGACATGTTGATATAATGAAGACACTATTTCATTTAATAAACGTATGTGTATGAGTAAATATATGGATGTGTTTAACATGTGTTAAGTTTTTTTAAATAGTTATTAATTATAAATCAGTTTGTGTGCTTATCATCAAACCCGTTAGTGTGTTTATTTTGGTGATATTTTTCGCATTTCCGTATTTTCAATCTTACCTGAAGCAATTGTGTATCTGATGAAATTAATGTACTGCGACACTCTCGTGAAAGCGGTGGGGCCAGTTTGTCCGCATCTATACGCAATATTAGCAATGCCAACCATCTTCCACCGGCCATCCGTGCCTTGACAGACCAATGGACTTCCACTGTCACCCTGCACACAAAGGTAAGGGAAAATCAGTCTCAAATAGTGAGGCCGAAAACAATTAATGCCCAAAATGAAAGTTGAATATTTCTAATGTTTTCAACAATGTATGTCATGGGTTATGAGCATTTAATAACAATGAAAAAACAGGCAAAATACGCCACGGGGCTTGTTAGATCTTTGTTAATGATCAGCGAAATTGACAAAAAGTGTAAGACCACTCTTCAATTAAAATAGAGCTAGCTATAAACTAGGCATTTTAGACAAAGATTGTATGCTCTATGGAGTAATACAACTAAAGATGAAGCAAGAAGCAATATCACAATTTGGACGCAAATAAAACCGATTTCATTCACCGAGTCAAACCGATAATCAGATGTGTGTATAAACAGAACGTATACAAACCCTGTCTTTGCTGCAACATTTGAATAAAAAGAAGTAGGCCTAATACCAGAAAAAAGTAGACGGTGCAGACGATCAGACGTCACTGTTAATAAACAGGGCATTAATGCACATTACTGATATTAGGAACCTGGTAATAATATAGTATCGTATTATGTGTTACGTGTGCTACGCTAATAAGTTAGCCTCAAGTCGAACGTGCAGAGGTGTAGGTTTTCCTTTGAACAGAACTTACTTCAAGACTACAATTTTAACTTGCACCTGCATTAAATTACCGTAACTTATCAAAAATAGATCTGTTCTAACATGAAACAGACACAAATAAGGGGGGTGGGGAGAGAAGGTAGGCCCTAACAGTTTTATTACCAAGCAAAGACATATGCATAGGAATTTCCATATTCCTCGCGTAATACACTATGGAAGCCACCTCAATCGAACTCCTTTTTTTCTTAGCTCTAAAAGAGTCGTCTTACAGTCCTCCAAACTCGGCTGTCCCATGCCAATTTTTGAAACTGGGCATGCATTTAAAGAGAATCATTATCAATACATGTGTAACCCAATCTAACCATGCAGGAAGCACACGCATGGAGTTTAATACTCTGGCACTTCTAAACGCCCAATGATCATCGCCGCCCGGTCAGCCGAATAACAGAAAACATCCCCGGAATGCCTGAAAAAAATCCCTAATGTTAGACCTACTTTTGTTGTCATGATTAAACATTTTTATCTAATATACTATCCCACTATCTATTTATTTCATTTTGTCCCTCCAAAACACCAGTTTTCAAAGATTTTGTACAAACTTGGATAAGACTAGCCAACAACATGTTGACAAATACTGGAAAGCTAACTTCATAATGAACAACATCCGCTGCTTTATCACAAGGAGTGATCATGAGATCTCATAAAATCACTTTTGTGTAAATCTATCAATAAAAATGATTTAAATCAAACCAAAAATCATATAAATTTGGCAATATTTCCCAAAATAACTCCAGCAGAAAGCGTTAGACGGGCAATAACTGCACACGAACATTTAGTGCACACGACCTAACACTAGCAACTGCGCAAGCATTAAATTTGATTCTGTTGTGAGATAAGCACCAGCGAAGACATGGATATTCAATTTCCTTCAGTATACAAAATTTTAAGAATGCAAATTACCAGCCAAAAATTGCGGTAATGATCGTAGGGTACAAAGAGATGTGAAACAGATGGTGACGACAATACCACGCATGACACAAAGCGTTAATTGGCCAAATTTTGTATCCTGGCAGTTCAAACTCCTTGTTTCATTCCTTCGTGGTTTTGCGCAATGCTACGAGCGTGCACGGCCTTGTGCATTCAGTACACCAGTTGGTAAGTACACACTGGCTGACTGGTCTCGGGAAAATGCACGTTGCGCGAGAATAGTACATCTGATTGTCAACAAATTGGTTTCAAAATGACAGTAAGTTATTACTGGATAAAGATTCAGTGCCTAAAAAAATGTATTGTTGTGATATTTGAAAAAAAAGGGGCAGCTCTTTTGGGTGCCTACTGTAATATATTATCTGCATACTGTGCATAGAGGCGTTTTGCTATAAACGCCCAATTTATTAATGGTGGTAAACAGCCAGTCTCATCAGATGCAGTATTAGTGAAGAGGTTCCACCTACGTTACAGGTTTTGTTGGGTTCGTCTCCGATCCCGGCACATATCTGACTTGATGAGACAAATAGTCGTCCACGAGTTCCAGTGTTGTTGTTACATTGCTCCCAACCCAATAGCGGGACACGTGCTTCTTTCAAGATGGGAGAAATAATCCCTGGATACGGAAAAACGTACAAGATTTTAAATGTAAGGACGGGCTATGTTCAGCCTATGGAATGCTGTCGAAGAGAATCTTCCCAAAGGATCGAACAAACAGATTTTGAGGGGCAAACTACTCATAATTATGTAAATTTGAATAAAAATTCGAATTCAGTTCAAACAGAAAGAAATACAAGAGATAGTAAACATCCAATTAAGTATTTCAAAAGAAAACTGCCCATCAAAATAAAGGATGGAAGTAACAGAGCAGACTCACTAGAACGGGACAACGGGTTCGAGGACGATGTGGTTGGTGAAAGTGTTTTGCCTCCCAATTGTATAGTCATGTACCTTCATATGAAGTTCGGCCCCAACCCATTGCATGGCACCTGTCGTAGACCTCAGTTTCATTGTCAGCAATTTGCAAGCAGATTGGTTGGATGGTTTCCGTATATCGTACGGGGGAGGCCAGTTTCAGGAGCGCGATGTCGTGGTAGTACCACTGATCGTCATATCTGGGATGATTAAATACTTTGCTAACCCTATGGACGTGTGGGTAGTTGAATGGAATATCCAAGGTCGAACTGCCAAATACTACGTGATGCAGATGGCTGGAAATAATCAACAGATTAATTTTACTAACCATGGAACGAATGTAAGCTTGGGACTTTGGTTAGCAATTGAAGGTATTTTTATTTAGATTCATCACACCTTCGTGGAAGGAATGTTTATACCTTTAGAAAGGTTCAAAGGGGGTTGGGAGCCTTCCCCAATGTTAAAGTTATCTGACCAAAGCCATTTAAAATGAGTTGTTGTACAACATCTTTCCAACTCCAAACGGAGTCTGCTTTAGAGGATATTAAAGCAACATGATGCATCATAGTGATTCCTCAGCCTCTGATCAGTAAAAGCCTCGTAAAACCAATGGCAAAGGCTGTTGCAGAGATTTGTGCTAGATCGGCACTTACAACGGATCAAAAGTTTAATAGAGATATCAGTTTCAACGGACACGAAAATGCATTGATATTTAGCGATACAATTTCTCTCCATTTTGAACTAACCTGCAGTGTGCTGCTGTGACTGCCCAATATCTACTGATTAGTGATACTCCACATCCATGCGATTCACTAGCGTGTCGATATGAACCAATCCAAGGCCAGTTGGCAATGTGCGTCTGAGCTCCACCAACGATACGACTGAAAGGATTAAGAGAAGGCGAGGCTGCTGGTCGACGCCCACAGTCTCCTGCTTGTAACACATCTGGAAACGTATCCAAAGATAACCCATGAATAATTGGTAAATATAACAGTTTTCCATTTATCATTTGTCAATGATAACACCTGCTGACGTTCGTTTTTTTTCAGAGAGGCAATGATCTCCCAGTGTTGGTATTTAAAATATGAAACCTCTCTGTCATTAGTGTGCGCGTGTACACCTACGTGTGAATTTGTGAAACAGCTTTCACAAAGTGGTCGCTTAATTAATGTACTTGCATTTCAGTCTGTTAAGACGGCCAAGGCAGAGAGGGATCTAGCTTTCAGGAAAGGGGAGGGAAGGTGTTGCTGGGCGTACTGAAGGGATGCCCTGCTAAGGGGATCCACCAGAAATCGGTGTAATTATATATAGATGGATAGATGGAAGGCGCAATCCTGGTCCTGGATTTTTTTTTTGGTAGACCAACTCATAATCGTCATTTTCACTGGTAATGCCATCTAGTCTGCAGTTGAACGGGGGGTTGCAACCCCCTCCCCTTCTAGATCCGCCTCTGAAAGGGCGGATTTATGAAACATTTCACACCTAAATAAGTGGATTAAAGGATTCACGTGCGAATGTGTATGGAGACTTTCAGTGTTTCAGTTCCCTTGTCGTTGTTTCGTGCCACAGAAGCGAAAGAATTAGTTCAGCCAGCCTTTCTGTTTCTCATTGGTACGGGGTTACACACTCTAATGACACCTGTTGCTTTCAATGTGCAGGGAACGAAACAATATCAACGAACTGATCAGCTTTCGACGCGATGTTCAGACCCCAGAGCAAATGTAATAGGTGACGCAAACCTTGGCCAACTCACCTTCGCTGTTGTAAAAACAACCATCTGAAGTTGACAGGACTCCACGGTCTGGATATACATCACACGGCAAAGTTGTAGTGTTAGAGTTTCTGTCGAGGCCGACACATTCCAAAGCTCTCGTGCATAATGTGGCACAGACTCTTCGATCAGAACCAAACTGAGGACACTCCGGGAAGAACGACATACACAGAGCAAGTCTCTCGCTATCGGTGCAGTTGACCGTGAGTTGAGGCAGATGTTGAGTAATGAGGTCATTCGCTTGTCGATGGGATTTCACGAAGTCGTTCGGGAAGTAGGTGGTATTGTAAGTCAGAATAGCTGAGCACACTTCACTCTGAATTTCCACGCAGTAGGCTTAATGAAACAAGCACGTGTCATGGTAAAATATATTGAACCTTTTATACTATGGAAAAAACAAGCGTAGAATCTCCTGCAATGGTTGCCAGATCCCATTAAGATCTCATTGGTTTGCAGAATACGGAATTCTTTGGAGAAGAAATTGAACAAATTTTTACCTACCAGCATTGCAGGTAACTCCTTCATCTGAATAATCCAGACAATCTGGTACACCATTACATTCCACATCGGCTCGACTCACGCAGATGCTATCACGACACAGGTAATCATCCCCACTGCAATCTACAAAACAAACTTCATCCGTAGGGCTTTATTATCTCCCTTGTAAGGCTGAGTTAATACTGAAATATGAGTATCTTAAATGTAAGTTTGATAATTTAATAAGCAATTTTTTTCAATCAATGTAACAGATAAAAGACATTGTTTGCCCCCCAAGCATTGACCATGGGGCTAATATAAAAACTGCGCGTGTTTGCTTTCAAAAGTTCCACTCAAGTTCCTCCCTCCTGCACTTTTAAATCCTAAGAACTCAGATTATTACTATATACCGAAGAGATAATACATCTGACTTCATTAAAACATAAAATGTCCAATGTCTTTTCTTTTTTGTGTAATGTTTGTTCATTCTATCACAATTTTGCACTCGCAAAAATTTACAGAAGTAAATTCAAATCTGAATTATTTTTTTTTGCAAGGCAACATTAAAGAAATATAAAAAATAAATACCACCAATATTGTACACAAAGACCTCCTCACGACTTGTAAATATGTAACTGACCAAAAAATGCATAATCCTACGATTTCAAATTCTTTTACAGTGAAAAGGCGTACCACAACCCTTTTCGTCATCGCCGTTTGGACATGTAATCCTTCCATCACATCTGTCAGATTCTTGAAAAATGAACGGAAATGCCTCACACTCAACGAAAGCTGGTTGAAAGTAAAGACAAAGAGGAAATCTGGCGTTTAATCTCGATCAATTGACCAATCAAATCATGTATCTATTCATGTTGCACACTCTCAAGACTTGACAGACATAAGTCAATACATAATTATATTATAAAATGGAATTTCACGTTTGTCAGAGAATGGAACATATCATTGAGGAGTTGTATTTTCTTAAAAAGGGAATAAATTGACCACCGTCAGTAGCAATAATTTTGGTCACAATTAATTGCTCATTTTTGTATGTTCAAACCAATTTTAGGGGAACGAATTAACAAATTGCGCTTAGTTACCTTTTTCGCAGAATCTTCCTGCAAATCCTTGGGAGCAAAGGCATCTAAAATAACCACTTGGGAATAGCATACAGGTTCCATTGTTCTGGCAGAAGATGCTATCACAGTCTGCAGAGGAAATCACAGTTACAAAAATTCTCTGAGCTTTGAAACAATATGACATGTTCTGTTTTCTCGACAAAGGTTGCACACACAACCGCCATCTTCAAACTTAAAATACTGACATCCATTCTGCAGAGCCATACTTTCGTGGGCTGTCTCGTGGATCTGTTGACTCAAGTTCCTCAGCCTATTGGTTAACAAAGCGAGTCCCCTAAGCAAGAAACTCCAGCCTTATCCCAACCCAGATTGGAAGAGACAGTATGTTTTGCTTGGTTGCTGGTATTGCCTTGAATGACCACATCGAGCTGTGCTCCCCAGAGACCAATAAACGACGTGCTGAAGGATGTAGCCATGTCTGGGCCAGATGGGCAAGTGAAATTGAAACAAATATCCCTTAGGAAAATCGCTATTGTGAGCCTCGAGCTTGATCAAGAGAGGACGGAAAGTTCTTAGCAAATTTAAGGAGGCTCGTTTAGTCGGAACTGAACTTCGCTGGCTCACGAACGACTTTTAAATGCACACGTTTCGGTCGTATGGCTACCAACAAAATAAACAATCCTGACAAACATGGCTCTTTTCAACAGATGACGGGGTGCTTCTGCTCGTGGCGGATTGTTCGATAGCGTTTGAATTTTGTAATTTTGAATTTCACGGATCACAAAGATTTTAAAGATAAAATGGTAAATTAAATAAAGTCTATTGCGAAAATACATGCTAAACACTTCCAACTTTGAAATTGGCTCTGAAAAGTAATTCAATTATTAAACCATGACAATCGGACAAATATCATCTGCATTCATTTATACTTTCTTACCACACAAGAATATTAAGCGTCAAAACTCGAATTTCGGTAGAGCTTAAATATTGACAGTCATACTTACCACAGGATATTTCGTCGCTTGTGTCAATACAGTCGTAATACCCGTCACATCGTAAAGAGTCACTGACGCAAACCGAATGGCCACAGTCAAGTTCACCGTCAGAACAGGTCAATGTTTCTAAATAAACAATATGTACACAAACTGAAAGTATTCATGCATTTAAATCGTTGACACTCTGAGAGGAGGTGTTGTTATAAAAAGGACTGATTAACGTTTGATCCAGTATTATAAAGCATAAGAGGATAAAAGTATCTCGATTGCTCAAGAAGAAACGCTGGCATCTCTGATGACTTTAAAGTGTTTTTTATTGTTTTATACCAGAACCTGAAAACAATTCGAACTTGCCCGAAATGTTGTTGGCAATGATTCCTCAAGGGCACGTATAGTGAGTAAAAGAAGATGAGAAGAGATACGAGATGACGTGAGATGTGATTGGATGAAATAAGAAAATTTAAGGTTGAATTAAAATACAACCGTTAAAAAGCCATGAATGTTTTTAAAATTGTTAGATAAAGGACAAACTAACAATATCACACTGAAAGTGAAAAATAAATGAAATAAAAAATGCATAAAAATATCATAAGCAGGAATTATACAGTTAACATCTAAAGCCAATCCAAACTACAGAAAACACCTAAAACAAATATCCTTATTGCACCAAGGAATAAACATAATTCTAGAAACTGTTTGGTTGCGTGGAAGAGGAACTTAAGGCCAGATAGTGAATCTTTCATTTCACGGGAGGCTGGCAGGGTGATTTACATTATTATATTTGAGTTTATTAAAATGAGTTACATAATTCATTGTGTCTCTCATTAAGGGGTTCAGTATTTCCCATAGACGGAGTCTTGGAGTGGGTAGGTCATCTTTCTTAACAAGTCGCCCCGGTGTATTCCAGCACGTATATGCACTAGTATGACTTGTGCCGTCTTTTTAAAAACTGTTAACTCGATTTTGCCAAAAATTGGAATTCCACGTCAAATCTGAACACTATATCGTCCATGTATGTGTATTTGTACATAGGGCAAGGAGTGGTCAGGCTGTTAATCTGGACAAGGAAATCTTTAACCAAAGAGATTAAAATTGATCACAGTCGATAGAAATGAATACACAATGTATCTACTAAGATTAGCTTACCATTGGATGGGACACTTCGCGCCAACAGAGTAAACCCAGCGTGACTGACACTCCCATCCGATGTGAACCTCAACCACATGGCGTTCTGATTGGACAATAGTTCAGGTGGTTTATAAGACCCACTCCAACGAAAGAACCTATTGGAGAAGTTGGTGCTATCTGATCCATCACCAGCTTCAAGGAAATCGAAACCACGCTCCGTGTTGAAGGCAACGAAAGTGATGACAATTTTCCTGTTGGGCATGGCTTGAAGGATCCAGACGAGGCGTGTATGGTTTGGGTAGCTTGATGGATAGGATGGCGAGGTAATTTGAGAAGACTCATTCACACTCACAAAGAAGGTTTCTGCAAGATTCCAAATTATTTCGACTATTTCAAGAAATTCAAAACCCATGTCGCATTTTGGTGTGAAGAATGCCTAAGTAGCTCTTCGTTGGAAAGGATTTGCACATGAACAATGAAACGCTATCTACCAAAGAGAACAAAGTTATGTTTGCAGTGTAACATAACCTTTCAAAATCAGCATTACACTACAAAAAGTTTTTTAAATACCAGAAAATACACTTCTAAACACTTCCCTGATATTGGCTTGTAAACAATCATAAAAAAAGAAATTCGACTTAAGTTTAATTAGCTCCTAAATATGATTACAAAGTCTGAGTGAGATTGTGTTAAATTGCTAAACACAATTCATACAGTGCATGAAAGACACATTTTTTAGCATATACCTGTTTCACATACAATGCCTTGAAACCCAGCAGGGCAAGCGCAGCTGAAATCGAATCTCCCGACTGGCTCACATGTCCCGTTGTTCAAGCAGGAATTAAATACACAGCCTGGTTGGCAGGGTAAGATTTAAAAAGGTAAATTGCTAAAATGTTTCTGTTATTTTTGTTAATCGCCTTCTTCCTTAATACCTTTTGTTGCATGCAACTGCTATTCATTTTAGACAAAGTTTCAATTAGTGGCATTTATAGTACTATAATACACAGTTAGAAAAAAAACACTCATAATTTGATGTTTCTTTTACATCTTGTCTAGTGCTGCAAATTTCGTTTTCCTCAAAAGCACGAAACGTTAATATACATTTCTTACCTGTGTCATTTTGAATCAACACATTGTACTTGCGGGTTCGTCCTTTGGAATGAATTTAAGCTATACCAGTTTGGACGAGGTTCATTCTACAATTCTGCTCTAAGAGTATGGAGACAAGACAAAGTCTAACATAGATGCAATCCATGTTGCCAGCTCAATTCAATTCGACTCACTTCGATGTCACATACTCGAAGTCATCATAGGAAGACTTTTTAGCATGATCCTTGCATTTTAGCTCCAAAATTACAAGGGAGTCAGCCGCAATTTATTTTTCAAAACTGTAATCGTAAGGACTGACTGAAAAGAAATATACCCCGAAAGGAGCTTGAAAAAAAAACAACAGACTTGGGCAAAACAACCAAATTACAACGACTGTTTCTAGCAATGGGAAAATGGCTTCTCAACAAATATCTTCTGATAGTATCTGAGGGCGAGCCCCTTTCTACAGCCTCTTGAATATAAACTATGTAATTTACCACTTGAGGAGACGCTTTGAGCCGACAAGGAAAACCCACTCATGTTGACACTCTGATCTGACATGAATCTCAGCCACATGACGTTCCCGACGGACAAGAGACGAGTTGGCAGATTGCTTCCACTCACGCGGAACAAAGCTGTGGAGGAATTTGAAAAATTCCCCCCATCCCCGGCCTGAAGGAAATCGTAACGACTCTCCGTGTTGAAAGCGATGAACTCAATGAGAATCCTCCAATTGCCTACCGTTTGGATTATCCAAACGACATCCAGATTGTTCGGGTAGTTGTTGGGATAGGATGGAGAGCTTACTAGGGTCGACTCGTTCGTTCCAAGATTGATGGTAATCAACTCTGTGACAAAATGTAACAAAGAAGTGTCATGTAACAACAGACCTTGCTAAAGGAATGTACTTTGTGCTGTAGTCACATTTCTGAAGCAGAGCAGGAACATTAAAAAAAAATTCATGGTTTGCACAGTAATTAGGCTCATAATACAACTGAAACTTTCATTTCTAATATATGACCTAGGCCTGGCAAAGTTGTAACTTTTAACTGTGTTAACTGAAGCTACCGTACACCCTTCCAATACGATCGGCTTGCCAAACCACCGGCGGAAACCCGCTAGATCAATTCAACCACGCTGGACTGCTTGATAGTTGGTAATCGATTTTCAAGCAGTCACGCAATGGCCATCACAATGTAGATGGTCTTGTGATTGTGTGGGGGGTCACGGTGAGTCCTATCATATCGCGTCCGGTGGCGTGCGCACTACCCCCCTCACCCAGTGACATCATATCTGGCCCCATCGGATGCAAAAATAGCAGCATGTTTAATCGATTTCACTTGATTGTCACCTTTTGAAAAAAGTTGACTGATTTTTCCCTGCGCACCTCTAAATACTCCATACTTACGGTGGCCCGGTGAACAAATCACGTCGGAATTAGTGGGGTGTGGGATTTGTTCAATCCATTGCCTCAAATGTCGCTTTGACAACTGAGCTAAGGAATGGAAGTCAAATCTCTCACCCTTTTCACACCTTAAGCCTCCAAAACCGGCAGAGCATTCGCAGGTGAAACCGGTCCACCCGACTGGTTCACATGTTCCGTTGTTTAAGCAGGAGTTGACACAGCCTACAATTATTGGAAAACAAAGCACAGGTATTCATAATGATGTTTGGTTTTGTGTTTCGCGACGACAATGAAAGCAAGCGTTGCAGTCGCACGAAATGAACACCCCCAATCGACATGGCGCATTTCAACCGATGAGGGGGGTGTTCTGCTCATGTAGGATAGCTGAATCAAGCCAGTTTCTTGAAAAGCTGCACCCGCTTTCACTAAACAGCTCAAATGCCATTCATTCACAAATTTGTTGAATGATTATGAAGAAAACTTCCTTTTAAAGAATTTGCCCGTTGCATATTTTGGAGCGCAGCTATATTAATTTGACTGCATGATTCTACGTCTTTACCGTCTACTTTACGATCTTGGCAATCGATTCTTTAAACTGTGCAGAGAGGCCTCACCCACCATGCAAATCCGAGGTTACACTTAAGACTCTCCTTAAAATATGCGCTATGTATGACGATCACTTCTTTTTAGTCTTGAGATAAGACTCGACTACTCGGTGTGTAACTGAGTCAATTCAATCAACATACTGCTGTAAACTAGTCGATACTTTGTCTCGAGAACACAATCCGACTTACACACACTTGGGAATCAGACGAAAGCCAAAGTTTATTGTTACTGATATTCAAAAACACAGGCGAAAAAATACCATCTGTTTGGAAATATGTTGATGACTCAGTTAGGGCAGATGTTGGACTAGTTGGAGGTGTTGGTTGATAAGTCGACAGATTAGTTAGTGCTTCGCTAGTTGGATCAATTGGTGGTTCAATTGGACCATCAGTTGGTGCACTGGTTGGTGATGCACTCGGAGCAACAGTTAGCGCCTCCTCAGTTTGCGTGTAAGGCTGTAGCGTAGTCGTAGAATCAGTCGGTTGTACATTTGAAATATGGGTTGATCCTACACTTTGTGGATGAGATGGTTGATCAGTCGGTGCAGCAGTCGGTGGATGTGTTGGGTCGGTAGTTAATGGATCAGTCTGTTGGTCAGTCAGTCTAGCAGTTGATGGATCGGTTGTGGAACCTACAGATTGCGGTGGTAGAGTTGTTTCAGACACACCAACGAACGGCGATTTTATGTTTGCTGTGAAAGAAATTTTAAAAAGTAAAAATAAAACAGATAAAAAAACCTCAAGTAAGGTTTAGTGAGAATCTTCTTTTGCGATTGACTCACTAAGTCAAATGTAATAATTACGGCTGACACTTCTTGCTTGGTTCTGGGAAATCGTACCTCCATTGATTATGATCGAGATGAACTGAAGGCCACCACAGCACCCAAGTTGACTGGTCAAGCTCTCGAGGAGGCTCTGAACGTACTCGACAAACGTGTCTAAGACTGCATTCAAGTCTGAGGGGTTTTGAGAGGCAGGAACGACGGCTTGTCTAAAGCGACTGAGGACGGTGGCAAGGACGCTTCCATTTCTACATCAACAGAGAGGAAAGAAGTCGAGTTAAACTGTTGGTTATGAGCAACGTTTTCCTGAAAGTGATTTTCTCTGTCACAAAATGATTACATCAATGTAAAAAAAAACACAACAAATTTAATAATTATCATCTTTTCCAGCGCAACTGGATTGAACTTTGGAGATAACACTAAACTGGGTTTTTTTTATTAATAATGCACAATTTACTTATTGTTTTTACTCTCCTCTTAATCTACGACGAAATTTTCAAAGAGTGGATATTCACGACGCTTGTTGATGTCAATCCGTTTCCTTTTAATGTGTACAAATACTTTTCCATATTCTGACTGTTTAGATATTTTATCTGAACCAGTTAAATTTTTACGACATATCTTTGATGACATACAGCTTATCTCATTTGTGACGTTAACGTTCTGTACTTCGTATAAATGCGCTACATTTCCATGATTCACATTAA